GCGCGCGCGGCAGCTGTCGGAGCTGCACATGCGGGCCTGCATCAAGGCCGGGCTGCGGTACGCGGGCGCGTCGCCGCCGTCGGGCTGCGGCTGCGACTGCTGGGCGTACCGTATCGGCCCCTGCGCGGGCGGCGTGGAGGCCGGCGATCAAGTCTGCGTTTCGCGCTTCCTCCTGGAGCGGCTCGGGGAAGACCTGGACGTCCCCATCAGCTTCTCGGCAGCTCCCGGGCCGTCCCAGCAGCCGCCCGCATGCAGCGTCGAATTCAGCACCGCGTCGACCCGCGCCCCGGACGGCGACGCGATGGGCGAGGTGCAGCGGATGCTTACCCGCCTGCAGGCCGCGCACCCGCGGCGCGCCGGCGGCTTCGGCGGCGATGCCCAGCGCCCATTTTCCGTCGCCGTCGGCGACAGGCGCGCGGCGATCACGATACCCACCAGCACGCTCGTTGCGCGCTGCGGCCCGTTTGTCGACCGCCGCGGCGCCGGCGGCTGCGACCCGTACCTCATCACATCCCTGCTCGCCGCCGACGCGCTCGGCCTGCAGCTGCCCGCCGCGGCCGACCGCGCGGCGGCGGGGGCGGGCGCCGGCCCGCTGCCCTCGGGGCCGCGGCCCGGCTTCCACGTGCCAGCGTTTGGCGCGTCGCCTTCCGCCCCCATGGCCATGGCGGCGAGCGGCGCCGCCCAGATGATGCTCAAGCAGCAGCAGCAGCAGCAGCAGCAGCAGCAGCAGCAATACTTGGAGCAGCAGCCATACCCGAATCAGCATCATCAGCAGCAGACGTGCGCATTCGGCACGCCTGCGCCCGCCGGCGGCCTCGCCGCCGCGCTCGCCGCCGCCCTCGCCGCCGGCCGCCGCGAAGCGCCCCGCAGCGGCGCCGCCAGCGGCGGCGCCTGCTGCTCTGACTCAGAGGGGGACGGGTCCGGCAGCGACTGCGAGGGCTCGGCCGACATGCTGGTATCAGAAATCCGCCGCATGGACCGCGCCGCACGCCGCCAGCAGCTCGCCTCCAAGCCGCCGCGCCAAGCCGCGGCGCCGCCGGGCTGCGGCCTGGACTGGCTCGGCGGCGGCGGCGGCGGCAGCGAGGGCGATGACGAGGACGACATCGGAGAGTCCGAGGATTGGGAGGACGAGGAGGACGACAGCGCGTCGTCGGCGATGGCGTCGGCGGCGGGCAGCCCGGCAGGGGCCTGCGCGCTGCTCGCGGCCGCGTGCGCCGACGACGACATGATGGTCTGCTGAGGGGCGGGCCGCCCCTTTTCTTTGCTTTTCTGTGCTGCTGCGCGCCTTGAGCTGCACCGGCAGGCCTCGGGCGTTGCTTTATGCGCCACACTCACAACCACGCCCGCCGTTTTGGCTCGTGATTATGTGCCCGCCCTCAGTCCCCTAACTGCGACCCGCCGGATGCGAGAGCACTGACACACACACCAAGACGACTCCCCGCCTCGGCGCCCGCGCGCGCCCCCTCCACCTTTGCGCCAGCGCCCCTGCCTGCCCGGCCCGCCGGCGGCGCGCGCCAGGCCCCCGCTCGCGCCGCAGCACTTGTATGGCGGAAGCCCTTTTGAAGAAGAGCGCGTGGGTCTTGCTTCTTAGAACGAAACCGCACGCTCGAAGAACACGAGAGAGGCGAATCTCACCGCGGGAAGACGAGCGGCCTCGTGTGCTCTGCAGGGCCCGTGCACAACTTGTCCCTGATGCCACCCCCCTCCCGGCGCCGCCGTGCCCCTGCGTTCCCCATCACCAAAAAACACAATCACTTGGCGCCCGCGCCGCCTCCCTGCACGCCCCGCGCAAGCGCGCGCGCGCCGCCCGTTCCCTGCTGCCCCGAGCGCGGGGCCGGGCGGCGGGGCGCGGTTTGTGGCCTGCACTGCTCGGTGTGCGCGGCGACCTGGCGCCCAGCCTGCCCTTACTCGCTGCCGGCCGCGCCATCCGGGCCGTCCGGCAGCGGGCGCCGGCGTGGCGCCGCCGCAGCCCACCGCGCCTGGCGCGCGCTCGCCACTGACGCCTCAGCGCGCAAGCTCGCGCTCTGTACCATTTCCCCTTTGTCGCGCCGTTTGCCATGCTCAACCCACACCCCTAACGCCCCGCGGCCCGCGCGCCGCGGCGCCGCCTGCCGGGCCGATTCGGCCCGCCCCTCATGTCGTGAGCGGTGGCCCTTGTCACCCGCAGGGACACGTTCTGCCGCAGCTTGCGACGTCTTGCCCTCTCTGCAAGTTGAACCTTGTGCGTTACTGCCCCGGCCCGAGCCCCCCCGAACCTGCCAGCCGGAGAGCCCCTGCCCGCCCTCCGCGCGCCTAAACACGCAGCGCGCCCGGCTCACGCGCGCTCGTCACAGCATCTGCCCCGCCGTCGGCGCGCCACCCCATCGTGCGTGGCCCGGCCCCATTCGGCCGCGCCACGCCCGCGCACCTGCAACGCGGGCGGGGGGGAGGTTGCGGCATCGGCGCGTGTAGCTGCCGAGCGGCCGCGCGCCGCTTCCAACTACGCATGTATTGTCAATTGTAAGGGTAAATGGGAAGTGAAAAGGGTCAATGGCATGGGGTGCAGCTCATCAAAGATGCACCTTGGCAGCTCTCGGAACATTATGGGCAGGCGGGCATTGACCCAGATCGCGCACGCGTGTATCTGTGAGGGCGCAGTCACCACAATGATCACAAGGCTGGACAGTTGCAGCACCGCCGGCGGCGCGCATGCGTGCGCGCGCGCTCGACAGGGGGACATCATTGCGCCGCGGGGCGCGTATGAGGGGAGTTGACGGTGGCGGGGCAAACCGAGGGTCGCTGGTGTGGCGCATGCGCCAAGGCATCCTGACGCGATGGTGCAGAGAGGTGCGGGCCCAGGGCCGAGGCCAGCTGCAGATTGGGGGCTGGCACTCTGCTTCCAAGGAGAGCGGCGCAGCCGCGAAGGTCAGAGCCACGCAGAGCCCTCCCGACGTGAATCACGCCGCACGGCGGGCCCCACGGCCGGGGCGAGTCCGCTGGCCTGCCACTGCACTAGGAAGGAGGGGGCTCCAGCCGCAGCTGGCGCAAATCACGTCTGCACTTGGGGGGCATCTCCGTGAGCCATCTGCCTTTCCCCTTGGGGAAACAGATCGTGGAGCAAAAGCCGCCGGCTGGGCCTCATGTCGTTACACCCGGTTGGCAGCTGCACACGGCTGACTCTGAAGCCCGCCCACCCTGCGAGCCCCGCAGCTGATGATCCGTGCTGAGATGATCCGTGCCTGACGAGGAGGGCCCTTGTACTCGGATTACTGGGAGGTTCAAAAAAATGTGGGTTGAGGCAAGAGTCAAAAAGCCGGCGCGGCACAACTCCACACGCTCAGCGCCAAAAGCACTCAAAAAATGCGCACGGCGCAAGCTCCCGCGCGCCGAGGGAGCCGCTACAAACCAGTGATGACAATGCAAGATGGGTTGATCACGCCACGGAAGACCCGCGCACACGAACACATGCACAGCCCGAGGGGACCGGCCCGCACAGTTCCAGAGCGAAAGAAAAGAAGCCACGCACCCCAGAGGAGGGCGATGGACGCACCCGCATCCACAAACACGCATGCACACGCGCGCGCCGACAAGCGCAGCGCCCTCACGCGAGCACCGCGCCGGCCGCCCCCGCGCCCGCGAGCGGGCTCGCGGCGCCGCCCTCCGCGGCCAGCGCGGCGGCGAGCTCGTGGTATAGGTGCAGGCCGTTGCTGAAGCGTGCCAGCAGGTTGACCAGCGCGATGGCCTCGTTGCGCTCGAGGGAAAGGTCCGAGAAGGGCGCGCCGCTGGCGGGCGGCTCGCCGCTGCAGTCCTTTGACGAGAAGAGGACCTTCAGGGCGGTGGCCACGCCTGGGGTTGCAGGAGGGGGGTGTGCATGCTTCGGGTGGTGTCTGTGTGTGTGTGTGTGTGTGTGTGTTGAAGGGGACGAGGGCGAAGGCCGTGCGGCGCAGCAGGCAGGCAGGGTGTGCATACGCATGCACGTGTGCACACACACACGTACACAGACACACACTCGCGCGCGCACACACACACGTGCAGACACACACAAACACACACACGCATACACATACAACCAATCGCACTCCCTCTCACACACCATGTCCTCCCCCTCGACCGCGCCGCCATCCGCTCTACCCCCCCCCCCCCCCCCCCCCCCCCCC